ATAAAAACAGTTATGATCCATCACTACACTTTAATGTAAATTTTAGTAATATGTTTTATTTTCATTTTGGTAGTCACAAATACTATAAAACTTTGAAATATGAAAAATAAGTTTAAGAATATTAGTTCGCTTTACTCATAAAAATATTCTTGCCCTCCTCTATCAACCTCCGCATAATTTCCCTTGTTTCTTTTTCACTCACCGTGACATTACTGTCTTCATTCCTGGTGATTTCAATGTACTGATAGGTGATCCTTTTAACGCCCTGGCTTTTGGTTCCTTGAACTTATCTCCACCTCAGCTGCTCCTTCTCATTGGCATAGTCTAGGTCTTTCCACTGCCAGTAACACAACCACTCCCTAACCTCAGCCTTAGGTTCTTACTCTCTGACAATCACATCTCTATCTCTGCACCTCCTTCTGGTACCTGGATTCCAACAATCCTTTGACCCCTACTAGGACTCACAGTCTGTGGATCTACCTATTTCACTTTGTACCACATCCCCTGATGACCTTTCTTCCTTCATTACTTGACTTAAATTCATGGTCAACCATTTTAATCACTGGCTGCCTTCTTGTTTCTACCTCAGTTCATTGTACTCACTTGATAAAACCCATACTTTCTGGTAAATCCAACTATACAACTCAGTGTAAACTCATGATCAGTTACTTCACATAGACACTTTTGGCTGCTGGCAGTCTAACCCTCCTGGGTGGCTATGCCACACCTTCTCTTCTCTCCAGTAACCTCCAACACCTCTGCTCACCCTCACTCTTTTCTAATGACATTGCTTTCTATTTCTCAGAGAAAGCTGAAGCAAACAGAAGAAAGCATCAACATTCTATCCCCACATCATCTATCCACCTACCAGCATAAACTCTCCCTTCCTATCCACCTCCACTGTTCCTAGAACATAGGAACTGTCTAGATTCCTATCTAACGCCAACCATTCTACAGTGCACCAGACCCCAGGACTGTTCCTCTACTCAAGGACATTGTTCCAGCAATTTTTTCCTGTCTCCTACATCATCAATTATTTTCCTCTCTACGGAATCTTTCTTAACAACATC